TCCTGTCATTCATCTCTCATCCAGCAAACACTTATTAAATAACAAGCAAAAATCAGGCTCAGGGTTAGGATTGGGTAACTTTATGCCTGCCAGCAAGTCGGTTTTTATGGAAAAAGCTTTGGGGGAAGAATGCAGGCTGCTGCATACATAACTTATTTAGAGAAGGGTCTCAGAGCATGTTTCTTTCTTCGGGACAGAATCCTAAATGTGATGTCGTGCTGAGGTGGAGCATACACAGGGGCTGGAGGGTAGCACTTACCCAGCACATGCGTGAAGCTAGGCCCTGGGCTCCATCCCTGGCACTGCAAAGCAAATTAAAAAAAAAAAAAAAAACCCACCTGATACAGCTTCTGCCATCATGGGGATGACAATCTGCTCCAGGAAGCAGAAAGTTTGCTGATGTCCCTAAATTACAGGGGGCTAGAAGACCCAGCTCTCACCTTTGACAGGAGATTGGGACCGGGAAGGAGACCAGATCTCAGGAATGGAAAGGACTGCTGTATTCATCCAGCCTCGCCCCCTACCTGGTGCCCGAAAGCCCTGGGTTTGTCCTCTGAAGCCATTTCTTCTCAACACTGTGACTGTGCCCATAGAAAAGCCAAAACGTTTCCAAGGCAGGTCTGGGCTCAGCACCCGCCACCTCTGCTCTCTGCTTAGCTGGGTCTTTCTGCTCGGGAGGAATCTGTTTCTCTCCACTGATTCCCTACAGGTCTGTATGGGAAAGAGGGAAGGAAGAGTCCTTTGAAGGAAGTTGAAATTCAGGGGAAATTTCTCTATGTACAAGGATTTCTCTTGTTCACTGTCAGCAGCTTCCTGAAGAAGCACCCTGAAGATCATGTTGGTTGTTGTTTTAAAATCTTCCCTGCATGGGGGCCCCTCAGATCAGAGTGCTCCCCTGTCCTGTGATAGGGTGGGGCAGTGGTGACCTCCAGAATCAAAGGCCACAGTCATTCCCGAACTTGGATTTTGAAAAAGAAGAGGGAGAGTCCAGTTCTTCTCTCAGGGTCCTCCTCTTGTGTCCCTGCAAATCACCCTTCACCTCCCAGCGCTGGGTGCTGGAGGAACTGGTTCAGCAGTGTGGATACGTAACCTCCTGCAGGTGGTTCTTCACCCTTTTTAAACTCTGCTTCATTTGTACGTCTTCAGCTCAAAGTCCTGGTGCTTTGGGGTAAGAAGAGGCTCAGGGCTGGCCCTCTGCTTCTGGTCCTAACTTCCCCACCCTTAGCCCTTCAGACAGAAGGAGGGTGGGAGTCCACACAGGGTGGGAGGGAGTCACTTGCTCATTGCTCATTCCTCTTTCTGTCTTTCATTTAATTTTTTTCTTGCCCCTTAAAAACTTAAAATTCTTGAGGCTGGGGTTATGACTCAGTGGTAGAGCACTTGCCTAGGACGGGTGAGGCCCTGGGTTCGATCCTCGGCACCACATACAAACAAACAACAACAAACAAATAAAATAAAGGTTAAATTTTTAAAAAATAATAAAATTCTTCTCTCTCTCTCTCTCTCCTCTTGGTTCTAGGACCTCAAGCACACTAATCAAGTGTTATGCCACTGAGCTACACCCCCAGACCTATGTCATCTTCCACCCCTACCCTCCCATACTGGGGACTGAGCCTAGTAGCACTCTTCCACGGAACTATATTCCCAGCCTTGTTTGTTTTATTTCTTATTTTAAGACAGAGGCTTGCCGGGTGCGGTGGCACATGCCTGTAATCCCAGTGGCTTGGAAGGCTGAGACAGATGGATTGTGAGTTCAAAGTCAGTCTCAGCTATGGTGAGGCATTATGCAACTCAGTGAGACCCTGTCTCTAAATAAAATACAAAATAAGGCTGGGGATGTGGCTCAGTGGTTGAGTGCCCCTGAGTTCATTCCCTGGTACCAAAAAAAAAAAAAAAAAAAAAAAAAATCTCACTTAAGTTACCCAGGCTGGTCTTGAACTGGTGGTCCTCCTGCCTCAGCCTCCCAAGTAGCTGGGATCACAGGCATGCACCACTGCACCAGCTTCTATGCTTTTATTGGTAGCCTAGAGTTCTATGGTGTGGATTTGCCATAATTTGTTTAGCAGTGGCTTGTTACTCTTATTAGTCTTCACTAAATCATTTCTAACTTTTTATTATTATAGAGAATGATGAATGATGGGATGAACATCTCTTACATCTGATATATATATTTTGCTTCAAGAGAAATCTCAGAAAAGGAATTGCTGTGCCCAGGGGACACATTCCTCCTCCTTCCAAGTCCACAGACAGGATTTGGCCATGTTGGTGGTCCTTAGGCTTCAACAGACTGCTCACCCTCATCCTGAGGAAGGCAGGGAAGAAACAAACAGATGTCGAAATGGACCTCAGCCCTTAGATGATGGAGATAGTGAGAGATGAGAACATCACAGGAACTCCAGGTCCTTCACAGCTTCTCAGTCTTCTGTGAGGCCAACCAGCCCCGGCTTGTATGTTATCTCTGCAGAATGAGGATGCTTGTGCCGAGCCCAGGGATGGTGGGGAAAGGCTGTGGGTGGGGGTGGGGCAGTAGCTAATGCATTTGCCAGCATCTTTGGTTTCTCCAATATCCAACCAGACTATTAGCAGTTCCCCAAGGATGGCCTTGCTCCTCACGTCATCCCCCATTTCCTATAAATGGGAAGTAGCAAGGGAGTAGGGTTTGTGTATGCATGTGTGTTGTGGGGGAGGGAAGAGGAAGAAGGTCTGGGACATATTGGTTTTCCTACAGCTGATGTAGTGGAGAACTGAGGTCCAGAGAAGTTGTTATTTGCCCAGAAGGACACAGCATCTTGGAGAGTAAGTTGTATGGATGTTAGAACTTTCTTTGAAGTCACTGGCCAGACTAGATGAGGGATTTCTGCCCCTGCCTTGTTTCTGGAGCCCAGAGACTGTGTTTGTGTGTGTGGTGGGGGTTGGAAGAAAGTAATTAAACTGAGGAAGTGCCTCGGTTTATCTGAAAATGTTACCCATCTCCTGGGTTTTCCTAAGGATTGAATGAGCTAATACACAAAAGCATTTAGAAATAGTGCAGGCACAATTAGGAATGGTAACTGTTATTATTATTACAAGAGGCTACATCAGCCGAAGGGGGAGACTTTCAGAGCAGAGTGTCATAGAGCACTGGGGACTGGGTGGGGGAAAGTGCATCTGCCTGGTTTGGTTAAGAAAGTGTGACCCTTGCTGGGCAGGGTGCCTGGGCAGTTGTTCAGGTGGCTGCCTGGGTGAGATCCAAAATCTCACTCTCTGGAGCCCTCTTTCTTTTCCCTGTGTCACAAGGCATAAGGCCCACAGGCTCCTGGCAGGGAGAGGGTGCCAGGCAGGGAAACAAGGACTTATAGCCCTCTGGGCATCATGGGATGAGGCAGGGGGACTCTCTCCTGACCCCACTGTTTCTTCCTAGGCCTGGAAAATGCCACTGTCCACTCTCTCTTGGCTCTGTAATTTTCCAGTTGACCTGGAATTCCCCATGACTCCTACCCTTTTCCTGGGGCAGAGGGGACACCAGTTCAGGGACCCAGGACTCCACCCTAGTCTCTGCTGGCCACAAATGGATACAACAAAGACTTTGGAAAACCAGGGTCCTTGGCAGCTGGAGTTGTATGCTCCCAGGGAGGCCAGGCTGAAACAGTTTTCAAGTTCACCTTGTTTAGTGACTCAAAGGGAGATTCTTGACTTTTTTGAGGGGGCTGCCTTTTCCTATACCCACTCTCTGCCCCACAACCACCAGGGCTCCCCTCTATCACTCTCCCTTCCCTGTCTCCTTCCTGCTCTGTCTCCCTCTGCCTTCTTGCTGGAAGTGGCTTTAGGGATCTTTTGGCTAATTGCCTTTTCTCACAGAGGCCCACAACATGGGAGAGTCTTGTCCCATGTCACAAAGCTGGTTGACACAGGGCCAGCATTGGAATCCAGTGCCCGGTTCAGGCCTAAGGCTAAACAGTCCTCCCCTTTGAAGGTATTTGCAGATGAATTCCAGAACCCCCATGGATAGCCAGACCCATAGATGCTCAAGTCCCCTACATAGAATGATGTAGTATTTACATATAAACAATATAGTATTAAAATGCTATTAATACTATATTGTTTAGGGAATAATGACAAGAAAAAAAGTCTGTGCTTGTTCACACACATGCAATCAAAACCATCTCAGGCCTAATTACCTAGCAACTACATTAGCAATAACATGACTTTTTTTCCCTAATATTTTCGATTTTGGTTGAAAAATGCCAGCACTTGGTGATCCAGCTGATACTGAGGGCCTACAGTATGCAAGTCAACAATCTGCCTAAATCGTATTTCTCTCCACTCCAATAAAACTCCATGGAAGAAGAAAAACACAAGGGGCCCACCTCCCACCCTGGGGCCAGCCTGGAACTCCAATTACCTGCTTCCCACCTGCATCATTCCACTCTTGTCAGAGACCTTGAAACAGGTACCTGTCGGGACCTCGCTCAACAGCTGACACAGGAACCATTTTACTGGCAACTTATTCCCTCTTCTCCCCCAAACACATCCTTAATGAATGAAAAATTGGAGTTTGGCTTTAAGCCGTAGAAAGAGGGACTGAATTGTCTCTATGTGCGTGGCAGAATAGGAAGCAGTAGGAAGAGTAACTCGGAAGAATGTGACATCTCGCAAGGGAAGGTCCTGGATGGGTGGGGTGCAGTTGCGCCTGAAGAGCGGGATGGCCAGAGGCACGCAGGGGCAATGGTCGCAGACAGGCTCCAGGGAGGGGAGGTGCCCTGTAAAGCCGGGAGGCTTTTACCTAAATATTTTGGTGGCGAGCGGCAGAGGGGGCGGTGCACGGCCCTAGGTAATGATAGGGCACTCTGGGAGCCACGCGGGGGCTGCGCGTCGCGGCCGAGGCTACAAAGACAGCTTCTGCGACCTCCCGCTTTCTTCCCTTGGGTACCAGCCCCACCCCTCCATCCCCCTCCCAGCACCCCCCACCTTCGTCCCGCCTCGCCCCGCCCCCCTCCCGGTAGCGCCAGCGCGCATGCTCTCTCCCCCCGCCGAGTAACCTGGAGATTTAAAAGCTGCCGGCTGGCGCGCGTGGGGGGGAAGAAGGGGGGGACGAGCTTGCACGCGTTAGCCCCGGGTGACAGCCGCACACCTCCGCCAGGTAGGAGCGCGCTCCCTCCTCTCCCCAGGGACAGGGTCCCAGCGCGGGAAAGGGAGGGGCGCTGTGCGGCCGAGCTCCGCGGTGTCGCGTGTTTTGCACCCCGCGGGATGGGGCCGCGTCGTGGCTGTCCCAGCCACTGCGCGCGGGGCCACTGCGCGCGGAGCCCCAAGCGAATCCCAGAGGAGAGCGCAGGGCTGCGGGCGCCCAGGGGTGCGGTCCCCGCTTTGCCAAGGGAGGGTGCGGAGTATCAGGCGTCTGCTGGGGTCCCCGCTGAGCTCGGCTTTCTTCCGTGGAGCGCGGGCTAGGCTGGAGGCGCCCCGGTCCTCCGGCTGTCCCGGGCCAGGAGGGGTGGACCCGGCCGGGCAGACAGCGGGCGAACCGGCCGCTCGCTCCTGTTGCAGCCTCCCGCGTAAGAGTTTTCTTTGGAAAGTTGCATTTATTTTCTTCCCTTGTCTGGGCTTCGCCGGAAAGGGGCAGGATGAGTCACCGCGGCGCGCACAGTCCGGGACTTGGGGGAGCCGGCAGAGGGGCCCACGACCGGGGTGCTCAGCTCTGGCCAGCTTTCTTGGGGAAGAGGGAGATGGTTACTAAGGGAGGAAAAGGGGACTGAGCCCTTCTGGACTAGTCCTGGGTCCAGGCTTTGGGTAGAGTTGAACTGAGGTGTGTGTGTTACTGTACCCTCTATTGAGCTCCATCATCCTTCTGGGGTGCAGAAAGTAGAGCTCGCTCTTTGCTCCTGTCTCCCAAGACTCAGGTGGGGTGGGGGAAGTTCTCGTAAACAGCAAACAGGTGTGGTGGTGTGAAGCTAGGCATTCCCTACAGCTTCTTAGAGCTCTAGGCTTGGGCAGCAGCATGGCTTAGTGGAGAAGCCCCCATCAATCTCCAGGCTCAGTCCTTCCCTAGTCTCCCATTCCCTTCAGGCGGTGGAGCCCTGGGAGTTGCTCTTGCCCTTGACCTCTGAATCCGCCTCCTTGTTTCTGACACACAGTCTTGACCTGCTCAGCTTTTCCCTCTGGCCAGGGGGCATTCCCTGGTGCTTCCTCTTTTCCCAAGGGAGTTGGGGTAGGGAGGGGTTTGGCATAGTGGGTACCTGGTAAGGACTTGCCTTCAGCTGTTACACGGACCTAGGACTGGTGGAGGGTAGACTAAGAATAGCCCAGTTGCTGCCCGGCTGCCCTGGAGCTGCAGCCGGGCATTGCCAATAGACTGGGGCCCAGAGTGACCCTTGCTGGGCTCCTGGAAACATTGCTCAGAGGTGGGGGTGAGGCTGTGGGGGCTTCTGGCTCCCTTTCCTGAAGCACTTAACAGATCTCCTTTCAGAGTGCAAATAGCCTTGTGTGGACTTAACCTGCCCAAGAGGAGGCTGGCATGGGACAGGTGGGGATGGGGGAAGAGGCTGGATGGGAAACCTGAGGAAAGCTATAGAGTGACAAGTCTCAGGGAGTAAGTGGACATAATTTGAGGTCACAGGCCCTTCTGTTGGACCATTTCACACACACACACCCATTCTTTCCTTATCACCTCCCCCCAGGCTTGACCTGGAGCCAGGACTCTGTTGTTCTAAAAGTGCCCACAAAATGGAGCTTGAGTCAGCCGGATGAGTCTGAAGATAAAAATACAGCTGTGGATGAATGTACAGCTGTGGACATACAGGCCCCAATTTAATGGGTGTGTGCTGGGGGGAGTTTTCCTATGTACTCGTGGAATATATGGTGAATTCCCCCCACCTCTCCTGACTCTAATTTTGTAGGAATTAGAATTATTAACTAATTCTGTAGGAGGAGCTGGACACTGAGCTTGGGTGGTCCACTGTGGCCTGCCAGTCCACTGCCACTGGGTGATGCAGGGGTGGTGGGCAGGTCCCAAGCTGGAGCTCCTCCTGGAGAGGGCTCTGGAGAGAGAAGGCAGAAAGGCAGGGAGGGATGGTGTGAGGACTGTGGAAGGGAGGTCACTTTTGGACACTGTCCCCTCCACCATTAGAACCTGGTAACACATCAGGGGTGGAAGTCAGACTGCTAGAGAGGTAGGTCTGTAGAGTGGTGGTCCCACTAGCTGTGCTTCACTATGGTAGCAAGTTGCTTAACCTCTTTCAAGCCTCAACATTTCTGGCTACAAAGTGGGGATGATAATAGTAATGATCACACCTACTATGTAGCTTTATTATTTGTTAAATACATTATAACAAATATAACTTTATAATTACATGTAAAATTAAAGTCTAAAATTTTTCTTTATTAAACAATATATGAAGAGCATCTCACTATAAGTCTGAGACATATGTAGTAAGTACCTAAATGTATGAACATCATTTATCACCTGTGACTGAATGGATAGCAGCACACAGTCTGGGGCTCTTTTTCTGGGACCTTGCTCTTAAAAAAAAAAAAAAAGCCAGGTACCACGGAGCTTACCTGTAATCCCAGTTACTTGGAGGCTGAGATAGAAGAATGGCAAGTTCAAGGCAAGCCCCTGGGCAACTTAGTAAGACCCTATCTCAAAATAAATAAATAAAAAGGATTGAATTCAATCACCAGTACCACCCTCCCCCCCAAAACCCACTCCCCCCCTCTCCAAAAAAAAGCCTGTGTAGACCTTACTTCTTTGGGAGCAAGGTCTCCTGGACTTTGGGGGAGTTGGTATGAATAGTTAAGAGGCTTGGCTCTAGAAAAAGGATTTGAATCCTGTTTGTTCTTGCACAAGTTGTTTGACCTCGGAGCTTCAACTTTCTCCTCTGTAAAATGAGGGTAATAGTACCTATCTCACAGTATTGCAAGATTAAATAAACTGATGTAGGTAAATCTCTGAGCACAGCAGCTGCTTGTAAAAAGAGCTTGGTAAATGTCAGCTGCTATTTGGTGACAATGGAGGCAATCATTGTGGTTTAGCTTAGAAACCAGAGTTTCTTAGCAAGGGAATTATACCACAGATAATCAAATGTGAGTTATGAATGACACATCTGCCATTGAACTTGTCCAGTGCAGGGAACACACCAGAACTGGGCACCTTAGTCTCTCTCCCCTGTCAGCATTGTGAGATTCGTTTTGTGATTAGTTCAGAACCCCGTGCACTGCCTGCCTTCCAGGTACCCCCCAAGAGTTCTCTGTAGGATGGAAGGGAAGGTACCGGAAGATGATGAAGTGATATCCGCCCTGAATGGTTAAGAGCTTTCTAGCAGAAAGGTGATTTGTTATTTTTTAGGAAAACTGTGTGGGGAGGGTGCACCAAACAGGGACTCTGCTCTGTCCTCCCTTCCCAGCTTGTGGGATCTTTTGCACTGTTCTTTGGTGTCCAGAAGAAGAACTCAGCCTAGCTTTCCCTGAACAGTCACCGGCCCTGTTCGCTGGACAGCAGGGGTGGAGGCTGGACCAGTTGGTACCAGGCCCAGTGTCTCAAATGCTGATGCCACTTGACTCCCAGCAATAGAGCTGGAGCGTTGAGCTTTGTCCAGTGTATTAAGTGTCTCTGCTTGGGGGCAGGGGTTGGTGACAGTGCCATCACGGGATGGTCCTGATCTGTGGCCAGAACTCCTTGTTGAATCTCTTTTTTTAACTCTCTCTGTGGTCTCCATTAAGAGAAGTTCACAGTTTGCCGCCAACCCTGAATGACTGTGGGGCTCCTTGCCTCTGAGGCTGGAGATGGACCTGCCCCTCCTACCCCTCCTCACCCCTCCACCAGCCCATTGGCCTTGGTTTCTTTGTCTATAAAATAGAGATGATATTCACCTGGTGAGATGATGATGAGGATTCAGTGAGATATGCATATTTAGCAAAGTACCTACCCAGACCAGGTGCCAGAGGTTACTGTCTCTGGTGGGGACCCGTTCAGCCAGCATGAAGTCAGTTGGAGGCCAGCTCTAGTCTCATAGCCTGCAGTCCCTCTTTCACCAAGTTCAGACCAGATGGAATGCCCAGCCAAATGGGATCTCCTCCGGAGCGGCCAGCCCACAACAGCAGTTTCTCTCACCCCGGTATGATGAGCTGTCAGCCCCCATCCCCTCCCCCCGCAGTCTGTCTAATCTCATCTACTTTGAGCTGGCAAATAGTGCCAGAGCTTGGAGCACCCTATCCATCCCTAGGGACATGGCACTGTAGATTCCCACTCCTGGCTCCTGTCACTGTAGAGGGCTGAGCACCTAGATGTCTCCATGGCCCTGTCTGAATCCTGGGTCAGATCTCCTTGGACAGTTCCCTGACTCGGCCTCACCCGTAGACTTTCCGCTGAGCACTCATCCTCCCCGGGTCCTAGACAGGGCCTGTGTGCCCTGCTTTCCAGGAGATGAAGGGCTAGTGGGGGAAGGAAAGGATTACAAACCAGAGGCCTGAGGACTATGTACAGGCTCCAGCCCTGAGGGATATGTGGGAAAGATTTGGGGGAGACGGGGAACTGGGCAGCTTGGGTTCCAGGGAGTCTGGAGGAGGTATGGGACAAGGTTCAGGGCAAGAAGGCAGGCTGTTCAGGAGGGGGAAGTAACTGGAGCAGGTGCCTACTTGAGAAAGCAAAAACCAGACCGTGCTGAGGAGTTCCCCTATCTTGGGCCCAGGGAGGGGTGGAACTTTATCTAGGACACAGAGATTTGGGCTGGATTCAAGATCAGAACCCAGTCCCATGGTCGCCTATTTTTCCTAGCACATCTCAGTAGGGAGAGGCCCAGAGGAGGGTGGGAGCGTTTGGAAATCTGGGCTCCAGAGGCCTCACTTTATCCTTTCTGCACAGGGCCTACCTGCTCATCTTTCAGGGCTCAGCATTGTCCACTTGCTCAAGAAAGCCTTGAACCTGCCTCCTTCCTGTGGACTCTCTGGCACCCCTATCACCTCAGTGCACACGGATTACATGCACTTGGTCACATTTTCTCTCTTCTGCTAAAGGGATCAGCTATTTGTGACCCCACCAGCTTCAGAGTGGGCTTCTACATAATTGGTGCTCAATAAATGTGGGGTGAGTGGGTGGGTGGGTTTCAGTGCTCTGTGACATTCCTTTCAGTTAGGCTACACTCTCCTCCAAGGGTGGGCAAACTTGAGCTCCTTGATAGTCTCTTGGGCCTGCTTTCACCTTGCTGTCCACCAAGCAACTGTTTTCGAGAACACGTTTCCCAAGAATTAAATCTCATCCAGAGCCCTCTGATTATAAATGGAGCTGGTCACAGACCTGAGGATGTCAAGACTGATGAAGACCATCAAATTTGCAGCTCCGGAGGGCATGCAGAGCTGGGACCAGCCTCTGGGTCTGGCCCTCGGGCTCCTCAGTGGGTTTGTTCTACATGCTCCATCTCCTCCCCTCTTTCCTCTGTGCCTCACCTCCTGAGGGAGGCCAGGCCTAGGCAGAGGACCAGGATTGGTTGTGCATGGATGGGGAGAGCCGCCTGGTCTGGCCTGGCTGACTGACAAGGGTCAAGTTCATTAGGAGGGAGGCAGTTCAGGTTTCACTTTGCAGGAGCCTTGTGAAGAGGTGGAAGAAGGCAGGCGGAAGGAACTTCCTGATGGCTTGAAGACTGTGCCAAGGTCCTGAGTCACCCCCCCAGGGTCCTCTTACCCAACCCTGGACCACAGGAGTTTTGGGTACTTTGCATTTATTGTAGCCCAAGAAGAGAAACAATTTAGTTACTAATTTCTGCCAGGAACAGAGTCCAACTCTGGGAGGAAGTAGGGAAGAGGGCAGCTCTGCCTCCAGATGTCCTGCTTACTTGGCTTGATTTCAGAGGACAGCTGACCCTTGGCATTGTGCTGGTACTTGAGCAGTGTGTGGGCAGGTACTGGATGGGTAAGTGCAGCCTCGGTGCCTTCTCCACCAGATTCCCCTAGACTCTCATTGGTGGAAGGCTGTGAAAACTCCTTCCTTAATGCCACAAGACTTTGTCAGTGACCCTCAGTAGACACCTATCCATGGAGAGCACCTCCCTGAGGTAGGGGTTAGGTGTGAGATCACCTCAACACACACCTGGAAAGAACCATAGGCATTATCTAGACTAGCTCTTCTTTTACAGGTGTGAAAACTGAGTCCCAGAGAGATGAAATGGTTCGTGCAGGCTACACAGCTGTAAACATTGCTGAAATAGGACTACCCTGTCCTGGCTCCCAATTCAAAGTGCTTTCCAGAATTTTCGAATGGTTCCAAATTTTTCTGTTCTTATTTGTGCAACCCTGGGCATGTTTGTTAAGTTCTCTGAAACAGAAACTTTCATCCTTAGAAAATAGGAATATTAAATACCTACTTGGTAGGAGAGTGTGAGTCGTGTAAATTATTAAAAGGTAGATCAAGCACCTAACACATGCCAAACACCTCATGGGCAGTTAGTAGGGGTCAGACACTGGGGATCATTGTCCCTGTGGATGGAAACCACCCACTCTCAGACCTCCCTTCTCAGCCTTCCCACTGCAGGCAGGTCTGTGGCAGTGACCTCTCCTCACCTGTTGGGGCCAGCACCTGGGGAGGCCGGCGCATTCTTGTCATTCCTCCTGCTGGGGGCTGCAAGAGGCGCCAGTGTGTGTGTGTGTGTGTGTGTGTGTGTGTGTGTGTGAATGACATGTGGGTGAGAGAGGCATGGAAGCTACAAGCTGAGGAGTGAGGAGCTGGGATATGGTCCTCCCAACCACTATGTGTGGAAAGCAGAGAGCCCCACCAGGCTCCCTCCACTGAGGAAACTTCCCATCATTTATCTCAAAACACTACATGTCTTCGAACCCGGGGCCGTGTGCATGCTGGGCAAAGCCTTCTACACTGAGCCACATCCTCAGCCCAGGTCCGTGGTCTTCATCTAAGTTTCCTTGCCTGTGAGGTGAGTATACTCGCTGTACCCACCTCATCCAGTGGTTGAAAGATGAAAATGCTTGGAAGAACGCCTGGCCTGTCTGTGGTGACCTTGAGTGCCGATGCTGTTATTAATTGTAGATTAGGAAACTGAGGCTGGGTGGTCAAGAATCAGTGGTGGAGCTGGCTTCCAAACCCAGGTCCAGGTGACTCCCTCACCTTGCTCACTCTGGGAATCTGCCAGAGTTTGGGGATGGTAGAAGCAGGCTCCTGGTTGAAGAGTCCTGCTAGTCCTAGTGTGGAGGGCATGTCCAGTGTGACCTTGGGTGGCAGCTGTTCTCAGAGATGAAGTCGGGTTGAGAGGCCCAGGTGCCTGGAATCAGAATGCGTGTCTGTGTTGACTGTCACCGTGGATGGCCAGGTGATCTTTGGGAGGGCTACTTCAGCCTCAGCTCAGGCTGGCAGGGACTGACTGGCCAAGGTGAGGGTCAGGCCAGCCCCTGAATCCCTGTCACTGGATTTTAGAGGGGAGGGGAGATGAGTGCAAGCTCTGGGGACTGCCTCCCTGTCCCTCCCCTCCCTTCCCCCAATCTCCTCCAGCATTTGTTTCCTTTCCGAAGCTGGACTGGGGCTCTCAGACAGGGCAACAAAAGCAACTTTCCTCCAAGCCACTGCCACCTGTTGGGCTTTCACACATTGGGGGTGAGTGGGGGGAGGGAGCCGTTGCCCTTTTCCCAGTGTCTGCGGTGTGCCCCCTCTGCCGCCCCAGGGCCTGGGATTCTCTTTGCTGCCCGAAGTGACAGGGCTCAGGAGCCGGAGGGGGTGGGGGACCAACAGCAGCTGGAAGGGGAATTGAGTGGGAAGGGGCTGGTACTGGCAGCCGGGAGAGAGTTTGATGGATTACTCTGCAGGCCGAGAGGTTTCTCCCTAATCCCCCTTTGTGTCCCGGCCTGCAGCCCCTCACTCTCTCTGACAAGCTGCTAAGCAGAAGGCTTCCAGTCAGTGGGAAGAAAAGGCCGCTCAGCGGGGTGAGCGCTAAATCCCTGGCCTCCGGGCCCTGGGGGAGGCAGGAGCTGGGGAGCAAGTCTGGGCGGGGCTGGGTTCCCCTTCCCACTGCCCGCCTCTGATTCCTTCTTAGGATTCCCTCGAGGCAGGGAGGTCACCTTCTGAGTGGTGTCCTCAGGTGTGTGTGGGACCCTGTGAGGTCATAGCCCTCAGCTATTAGTCCAGATCACCATTGCATTTGTCCAGGGCAGGACGGGCAAAGCAGAGATCCCTACTGCCTAGGAAATATTTAGGCTCAGAGAATCAAAGACTGATAGGGCTGGAAGGCTCCAATCCCTTCTGGAGTCCAGTGCTGTGCCCACCCCCACCCCCCAACTCCTACCCCAGGAGCCCAGTAGGAATTCCCACAGCCTCAGGGTCCCTAACCAAGGCGTCTGTAAAGATCAGGAGCTGCCTGCCTCACGAGGACACTTCCTAGTCTGTGGATGGCTGCTGCAGCCTTGTCGTGGAGCATCCCCAGGATTCCTTGTGAAGCTGCTACGAGAGGGTGTGGCCCCTTGGGGAGTGCAGTGTGCCAGGCAAGGCCCAGGGCATTGGTCCCTGGACTGAGGCAGGGGGATGGACATCGGGATGCTGAGCTGTGAGCCCTCAGACCTGACAGGTCACTTTCCCCGCCTCCGCCTGGAGAGCCTAGGAGAGCTTAGCATGGAATGAGGTGCTGGGGTCCAGTGGGATTTGGAGCAGTGCTAAGTAACCCGTTCCCGCCTCTGGCCTGGCCTGGAGTGGGACAGCCTTGGGGAAGCTGACCTAGGGTGACCCCTCTCCTTTCTTGGGCTGAGTCATTGCTCCTCTGGGCTAGCCTGCCCCCTGCAGGGTTTCCCTCTCTGGGGAGGGGTGGCGGGTGGCCCTGGAGGATGGAGGAGTGTGCTTCGTGCCTCCCTGAGGAGCTGTGAGAAAGCAGCCCGCCTTTGTGTGCAGCCAGGGAGGAGGCAGGGTCGCGGAGCTGGCTGGGTCAGGGTGGGGGCTGCGCCGTTTGATGTGCCTGGGCGGGGTGTGGGGACGCTGGCCTGCATAAAGAGGCCATAGAATTGCTGCCTGACACTGGCCCGGGGCGGGGGCTGCCCCCAGCCCAGGCTCCCTCTGGCCTCTGTCTGTCAGCGGAGGCAATCTGCTCCCCCCAGTTCCACCTCCCCAAGCGGGGTGGCAGGAGCCCCTTTGAAAGCCCTCAAAGGCCTCTTTATACGTCCCTCTGACCCTCCCTTCCCTTAGGGAGCTACCAGGCAGTGGGCTTGGGTCACCTTTCCTCCGCCTCCTCCACTCTGTCTTTTGAATTTTGGACAAAGTTCAGGCCAAGTTTGTTCCTGTTGCTCAGTTTCATTTCCCATGCTGCCTGCCCTGGGTCCAGTCTGAAGTGGGGGCATTCTAGGTCACTACCTTCGAGCCCAAGGAGTTGCCTCTTCGAGAAATTTCCCGCCGCCCCCTGCTTTTATACGTTTGTCCATCTGTCCATCCATCCATCCATCCATTGGGTAAAAATATTTCCCAGGTGCCCTTTCTTGCTGGGGCTGGTGACAGGGGTGTGAAGGAATCCGATATCACCCACCTTGGGGGATGCTGCACTGTTGGGTGCTGTGACCTGGGCAAATAGAATCCAGGTGCACTGACCTTGCCGGGGGCCCTTGGGGTGGTTTAGAATGGAACTCCATGAAGGGTCCCGTGGACTAGGGATTTCCTCTGGCTTTCTTGCTGTTCCAGCTTTGAGGGGTCCTGGAGAGGAGGAGAAATGTTTGCAACTGGAGCCAGACTTGCCTTCCTAGAAGGCGCCCTGCTCCTTTCCTCCAAGAGGTCAGCCCTCCACTTCTTGCCCCCTCCTCTTCAGGTGAGCAATCAGGGGCTGGCTCTTCTGGTTGATCTTCTGTTTGCCAGACAGACAGAAAGCTTCAAATGCAGTGGGCAGGAAGATTTGAGTCGGAAGTATCTGTGAGACTGAAGAGTGGGGAGGATAGACTCTGTCCCCCTGCCTATATTTCTACTCCTAGAAGACAGGGGAGTTCCTCAGACCAGGGGTGGCCAGTAGTGATGGGTCACTTTTGAGCTTGGGCAAGAAGTGTGCCCTAGGACTGCTGACCAGAGCAAAGACCTGGAAAGTGATACTGAACCACCTTGTTCTCTGAGCTCTCCGAGCCCGGGAACCAGGCAGGCCCTAGGCCTGGATGGTGGTGCCTCAGGGAAGGAGGCCCTGGAAGGATGGCTGGCATTTGGTGCTAGAGTCCTCTGTAGGCTCCCTCATCCTGAGGACGTGGGGTGGGGAGGGAGTGGAGAGACGTGTGTGCTGGACATAAGAAAGCAGGGCTTTGGAGGAGAGGGTGTTCTTATGGGCTTGGGATTCCTCAGGTAATTCTGGGTGTCAAGAGTGCCTGGACTTCAAGGGCAGAGTAGGTATGAAAAGAGGGAGAACGGGCTCTGCAACCTAAGAACACAGGGGTGCAGCAGGGCTAGGAGCCTGCCTACTTTCTACTCAGCTTCTTTCTGTGAACTCTTCACCTGGCCCAGCCCCCAGTTACCTGGTAGAGAACCTCAGGTGGGTGGAGGGAGGCACCCCGGGAAGGAGGAGCAGCTCTAGAGGTGACTGGGCTATAAGAGGATGAGGGAAATTCCTCTCTTCAGCCTGTCTTTTTCCCTTGTGGGCTAAGAGTGGTTCTGTTCAGGAGGAGCTGGATTGAGGGAGGAGAAGGCAGGTGGAGTGATTAATGGTTGCTGGAGAGCTACCATTTTTTTTTAAACCGGGAACTACCAGGACTTGGAGAAGGAGGGCAGGCTGTGGGTGAGGCTGGGTCTGACAAAGTCAGTGTTTGCTCAGGGAGGACCTGGTCCCTTGCAAACCCAGAGCGGTGAGTGTCCAGGGCCCTCCCAGACAGAGGGCAAGGGCAGGGAGTGGAATGGGCTGCAGCCTTTTGCCCCAGAGCCCCTCCCTCGTGACTGGGGATCTCCAACCCTTGGTCTCTTGCATCCCACCCTCCACTTTCCCTCTAGAGAGCTGGAAAGTGCAGCCATGGGGAGGGGTAATGCTGAACCCACTGCAGCCCAGCTACTCCTGATGCCTGGTTCCTACACCTCCCTTTGGGGGGACTATGGGATCAGTATTTTATACTCCTACTCATGCCACCCCTGTAGAAGTCCTGCCCCTTCCCAAAGTGTGGGATCTTCGGGAGGAGGTTGCTGGCTGCCCAGCCTTACCTCACGTCCCTTTCTTCCTGGGCTCCCAGTTGTAAAGCCCAGAAGGCATATGGTATGGGCAGATCTTATCTAGGATTGATGGTCGCCTGATTTCTCTGAGGCGCAGCTCGCAGCTCGGAGCACCTACAACATGCTTTGTAATGTGCAAGGTCCTGCAGGGCTTAGTGTTGTTTGAAAAGATAAAAGAAGTGAAGCGCCTTTTATCATGAGATGCTGAGATTGGCAGGGGGGATGAGCATGCGGGGAAAGTGCCCCTGTGGGGGGTGGGTGGAGCCAGCCCTGGGCACTGTGGTCCTTAGGTGGCCCTGCCCAGGGAGTAGCTAGCTGCTCTTGAGCAACATTTATAGGGTTGACTTGGGGAGGAAAGTTCTGTCCCCTGCCTCTGTTTGGGGACAGAAGGCAAATTAGGGACCCCTTCCCCTTTGTCACTAAGCACTCCATCCACCCTATCCATCTCTGCTGATGGCTGAACTTGATCTGTTTTCCTTCTTTCGTAGTCTGAGCAGAGCAGACTGCACTGGGTGCCATTGTTAGGAAGCCAGACCTGGAGCCACCTGCTGCAGGGCATAGAATGGGCATTGACCCAGGGATGGTTCTCCCTGTGTGCGGGAGGCAGAGCTGGTAGGAGAGAGTGTGGGAATTTCTCTGAGAAAGAAGCTGTTTGGGGAGCCGAGAAAGGCTGGCCAGGAAGTGGCGGGGCATCCTGACGCCAGCTCAGGGGGTCACTGGCGTCATCACAGGTGCTGCCAGCTAGTGCGGTTTCATGCTCCTGTGAGGGTGGGACCTGGGAATGGCCCCATTGCTCCGTGACAATTGACAGTCACCTGTGGGGGGGACTTCCCCGGTGAACTCTGGGGGAGACTCGAGGGAGAGAGTTTCAGGCCTAGGTTGACCCAGGGGAGCTCTGCATGAGTGGCTTCAGGGTCAGATTGAAACCCAACCCAGCAAGCCACAGCCTTTCCTCCCTTCGCCCTGGTCCTGGTCCTGGAGGTGGGGGTTATGGTGCAACATGGCTCAGGGCCAAGAGGTGCGGAATCGGAAGTGTCACTCTTAACAAAGGGGAATTGAGCAGCCCAGCTCGGGGAATTGAGCAGCCCAGCTCTGGGAATTGCAGAGAGGAAAGCAAACAAACCAAGCCTGGCAGAGGGTCTCTAGGGGCACCTTGATAGCGGGGCCTGAGCAACCGGAAATTCAGTTGATTCAGTGCCCCCCCCTTCAATACGAGAGCAGGCGAGGGCAATTGCAAAGCTTTTCCAAAACAGAATACCTGACATCTGTTTTGGCTCTGAGGTATGCTGAGGTTTAAAAATCATATTTACTTTATTAATTATGTCAGCCTTGAGCTAATATTAACATGCGTTTCCTGACTAGGCAGCCAGGAGTGGCATCTAAGGGACAGGGCCACATCATCAGCCTGTGAATGAACAGGATTCAGAGAATTCAAAGAAAATCCTGAAGCCCTGGCTCCTGGGACTTAACACTCTGTGTACCTGTGATTGTCCTGCCCTTTTAGGATCTGAGTGACAAGAATTGTCCCCACTGAAGTGCTGCGGGGCAACGGTGTTTAGCATGGGCTGAGTCATTGGACCTGTACCAGAGGGCCGGCGGAAATGGGCACCTGGCTGAATCCTAGGCAGTCGGTGGCAGCAAGGAGGAGAGGCCTGGGCTTCTGGGGCAGGGCTGAAACAAAGCCGCTGTGGAGTGTGTGAACAGCTCCGACTGAGCCCCACCTGCCTGGCCCACCATGGTCCAGAGACTGTGGGTGAGCCGCCTGCTCCGGCATCGGAAAGCCCAGCTCCTGCTGGTCAACCTGCTGACCTTTGGCCTGGAAGTGTGTCTGGCCGCTGGCATCACCTACGTGCCTCCCCTGCTGCTGGAAGTGGGGGTAGAAGAGAAGTTCATGACCATGGTGTTAGGTGAGTGCCTGTACCCTCCTTCCCTCCTGCTCCAGTTACGTGCACCTGGGATGTAGGGCAGTAGGTCCTCTGTCTAGAGAATACTCGGACAGCTGTCCCTGGGCCTAGTGGGCAGGCATGGCTAGGCAGACGGGTGACCTGAGCTGAAGGAGTCCCTCAAGAGAAATGAAATGATATAGGGACATAATCTAGCCACCTCTGTTTGCCTGGTCCCTACACAGTGTCCAGCTCATGGAGACACTAGAAAAAAAATTGCTCTTAACCTTTGTCCAGCCCTTTATAACTCACATCTGTGACCTCATTTACTCCTTACAGCAAGCTTTTGGGGCTTTCCATGATACAGGGAAAGAAAACAGGCTTGTGAGAGCTTAGGGGAGTCACGGCCCAGGCTGTGCAGCTGCGGGGACTCGAACAGAGTCTCCCAATCAGGGCTTTCTCTTACCCCAGAACAGGACACAGGCAAACTCCTCATGCTACAGGTGAATGCTGCAAAGCCACAGAAGACCAATGGTCACCATTATGTGACACTCACCCTTGGGAAGAAGGGTCCCTGCCAGTACACTGAAGTGGGACCACCTGTTGCAGCCCTGCCTGTCACCTCCTTACCTCTGTGCCTTTGCATAAGTATCACTTCTAGTGCTCCATGCCTCAGTTTCCCCAACTGAAAATGGAGGTCTTTGTAGTACTCCTCTGAGGAGTAAGTTAAGACCCCATGAAGATGGTATTTCCATGCTTCTCTAGGAGCTACATCCCTTCTCCCCCTTCCCCTTCTTTGTCTCAGCCACTAACTCTTGCTTCTTGCTTTTCTTACAGGCATTGGTCCAGTGCTGGGCCTGGTCTCTGTCCCACTCCTAGGCTCAGCCAGTGACCAGTGGCGTGGGCGCTACGGCCGCCGGAGGCCCTTCATTTGGGCCCTGTCTTTGGGTGTTTTGCTGAGCCTCTTTCTCATCCCGAGGGCGGGCTGGCTGGCGGAGCTGCTGTGCCCAGATACCAGGCCCCTGGAGTTGGCACTGCTGATCCTGGGCGTGGGGCTGCTGGACTTCTGTGGCCAGGTGTGCTTCACTCCACTGGAAGCCCTACTCTCTGACCTCTTCCGGGACCCAGACCACTGTCGCCAGGCCTTCTCTGTCTACGCCTTCATGATCAGCCTCGGGGGCTGCCTGGGCTACCTCTTACCTGCCATTGACTGGGACGCCAGCGCCCTGGCCCCCTATCTGGGCACCCAGGAGGAGTGCCTCTTTGGCCTGCTCACTCTCATCTTCCTCACCTGCATGGCAGCCACCCTGTTTGTGGCCGAGGAGGCTGTGCTAGGTCCGCCTGAGCCAGTGGAAGCACTTTCAGTCCCCTCCACGTCTCCCCACTGCTGCCCATGCCATGCCCACCTGGCTCTCCGGAACCTGGGTACCCTGTTTCCTCGGCTGCACCAGCTCTGCTGCCGCATGCCTCGTACCCTGCGTCGACTCTTTGTGGCGGAGCTCTGCAGCTGGATGGCACTCATGACCTTCACACTGTTTTACACGGATTTTGTGGGTGAGGGCCTGTACCAGGGCGTGCCCAGAGCCGAGCCAGGCACCGAGGCCCGGAGACATTATGACGAAGGTAAGGAAGGCCTCGGCAGCCAGTGGCAGCTGCTGGGTAACTGCGTTCAGCAGACATTCCTGGGTGGGGAGAGGTTGGGGGGGGGTGTGGGGGGTGTGGGCTGGTGGCTGTGCATCCTGTTCCCCAACTTCCACATCAGGAAAGGAAAATAGACCCCATCCACGTCAGGCTCCTTGGGGAGTAGCTTTGCCTGCTGCCTCAGTGGGGCTGCTAGCTTCTCCGTTCATTCAGTCAGATGCACTGCCGTACTTTGTCAGAAGGAAAGACTGAGCTTACTCAAGGGACAGAGGAAGCAGGAGTCAAGATGGATTTCAGCTCTGCTCAGCTCCATCCTGCCCTCTGCTCCATCCTGCCCTCTGCTCCCCTGCGGACTTTCAGATAACCTCACCAGGACCGTCCTGATCAGTTGTTCTAGAATGCCATCTTCAAGCCTGGGTAGAAACTGGGCGCCCAGCACATGCCTGTAATCCAGGGGATAAAAGCGCCCCTGGGTTCAATCCCCAGGAAAAAAAAAAAAAAAGGCTTGGTAGAACTTTCTTTATGTCCCCTCTTACCCTTTTGTACCCAAAGCTGAGGGTCCTTATACATCTTCCTCTGCCCTCAGCCAACAGCTTTGGCCACATTTGCCAAGTGTCTGTGGAATAGCCTAGACTCCCATTGCTACGGGGTGGGAAATTGAGGTGGGGGAGCAGATGCCCATGGCTCCTAATCCCCTGCCACCCCCAGATTGTGTAGGGTTTTGGCCCACCTGGCCTTGTCTGACCACCTCTCCCCTCTACATCCAGGTGTGCGGATGGGCAGCCTGGGGCTCTTCTTGCAGTGTACCATCTCCCTGGTCTTCTCCCTGGTCATGGACCGGCTGGTGCAGCGATTTGGCACCCGGGCAGTCTACCTGGCCAGTGTGGTGGCCTTCCCCGTGGCTGCTGGCGCCACTTGCCTGTCTCGCAGTGTGGCTGTGGTGACGGCCTCGGCAGCCCTCACCGGGTTCACCTTCTCGGCCCTGCAGATCCTGCCCTACACGCTGGCCTCCCTCTACCACCGTGAGAAGCAGGTATTCACACTGGCCCTTGGCCAGTAGGATGGGGGAGGCAGACTAGTCCAAAACCCAGTGTCTGGCAAGAGGTGTTGGAGAAGACTTTCTCTGATCCGAGGAAGCTCATCTTAGCTCCCAGGCAGGAGCTTGGGCTGCGGAAGAAGCGTGTAGATTAGATTCTGGGAATGACTTCCTGGCTTTGGAACTATAAAGCACTTGAGTGTGTGATTGCAGGAAGTGAAGAATCTTTCACCGGGAATCCTGAAGAATCAGGCTAGAGAAGCCCTCAGTCTGGGCTGTCTTCTCCCAGGAGGCAGGGGCCTGGGTGAGATGCCCTCTGGGGCATCTAGCTTCAGCATATGGTAGTAGAATGGCTAGGCCTTAGGCACAGGGAAAGGCCTTGTGACTAGCCTGAGTCTTGCTCTGGTCTCTAAAATGGGGAGGGCTCTCTTTTTCTGGTTTATCTTCCTCTGAATTCTCCCTTTCCTGCCTCACACCTTTACCTCTGTCCCCTTCCCCTGCCCCTTGGTGAATATCTGAGCCGGATATACCAGTTCAGCTCACCTGGGCACTGGGTAAGTTGGGGGCCTTCTTCCTGCTTGACCCCACACTAACCAGCCCCTGCAGGAGGAGGGTAGATTTTTGTATGCAGGAGGTTGGTCACCCTTGTTCCCTCCACTGACTTCACTGAGCTACAACTTTGGATGCAGGATTCTACCCCAGGGGGCACAAGTTCGGTGTCTTGGGGTGGAGACATAGGCCTGTGCTCATAGAGCTGCCAGGTATAGGGAAAACCTGTCCTTGCCCCTGTAGGACAGGAGTGCAGTAGCTGGGAGGCTGGTTTGCTCTGCAGGTAGCTGCAGGGGTGGGAGGTGTGGAGAGGGAGGGGCTTTGGGAGGGGAACTGGTCCCTATCTTTCACCAGTCCCTACTCTCAACGCTGCTCTGGGCTGGAGGCTAGGCCTGAGCATGTGCATTGGAGCCAGGGGACAGGCTGGGACTCATGCTTGTTGCTGAGGAGCATGTTTGTCCCCAGGGACCTCTCCAGACTCCAGCCTCTCAGGCCTTTCCTGAGGCAGCAAGCAGGACAGGTCCTGGGAGGCAGCAGAGGGCAGACTTGGCCTTGCACACTGTCTGCCTGGCCTTTGCCCACTTGTCAGTCTTCATGATGAGCCTTGGGCTTCCCTGGCACCAGGTAGAACTGTGTCCTGGCTCCCAGCTTATTCATGCAGCCAACTCAGGAAGCCAGCGCTGTGGCTAGACATCATGGGGCATGCCTGTAATCCCAGCTACTGGGGAGGCCGAGGCAGGAGGATCACAAGTTCAAGGCCAGCAAGACCCTGCCTCAAAGTAAAAAATGAAAAGGGCGGTGATGCAGCTGGTGATGAGTGATAGGGATCTCCTGGTTCAATTGTCAGTATATTTAAAAAAAAAAAAAAAAAAAGCCTGTGCTAGATACAGTGTGAGATAAGATCTGGTCTTGTCCTTAAATAGGCCCCAGGCCATTGAGGTGGGGGTGGGGGAGATAGATCAGACTCAGCCTCTGATCTCTGGTGAGCAGCAGGAAGGAAGTAAGAAGGGCTGTGGGAGTGGGCAAAGGGGTCACTCCTGCTGCTCCTCCCTTCCCTAGACCCCATCTGCCAGCCCTCCAGCCCCCCGCCCAGCCCTCCCTGGCTGAAGTCTAGGGCAGGGACCTCACTGTGGGTAGCAGCTCCAACTCCAGGGCCTGCAACCTCAGAGGGGCGGGGCTTGTCCCTGGCAGGGCACTGAGGATTTCCAGATGGCCAAGAAGAGGGTGGGCAGGGAGGAAGAGGGCTGGAGACCCTGGGTGGGGTCTGGGGACCGGGAGCCCTCCTTTGCGTTTTCTCCCTCCTCTTGTGTTTCTCTCCTCTCACCTGCCTGATTCTTTCTGTCTCTCCCTTTTCTTGGGAGGCTCGGCTGTCTTCCTAACCTGCAGAATCAAGTTTGTGACTTACCTGGGCTGGGGATGTGGCTCAAGCGGTAGCGCGCTCGCCTGGCATGCGTGCAGCCCGGGTTCGATCCTCAGCACCACATACAAACAAAGATGTTGTGTCCGCCGAAAACTAAAAAATAAATGTTAAAATTCTCTCTCTCTCTTAAAAAAAAAAAAAAAAAAAAAAAGTTTGTGACTTACCTAAGAAAAGCCAGAGGAGACCTTGAGGTCTGGTTTTGCACCTTCATGGCGGTCATTCCTGCTGTTCCTGAGGTCCTGTCTAGACCTGGGTCAAGTAGGGTCTCCTCAGCTTTCTGACCTGTTGCCTGTTTTCTTTTAGCCCTGGGGTTGAAAGCTAGGGCCTGTTCTTATAGCTGGGGATCCCTGTGCCTGAGTACACACTTGTTCTCGTCCCCTCTTTTCCACCCCCCCCAGGTGTTCCTGCCCAAATACCGAGGGGACACTGGCAGCGGTGGCAGTGAGGACAGCCTGACGACCAGCTTCCTGCCAGGCCCAAAGTCTGGAGCTCCCTTTCCCAACGGACACATGGGTGCTGGAGGTGGCGGCCTGCTCCCAGCTGCCCCCGCGCTCTGCGGGGCCTCCACCTGCGATGTCTCTATGAGAGTGGTGGTGGGTGAGCCTACGGAGGCCAGGGTGATCCCAGGCCGGGGCATCTGCCTGGACCTTGCCATCCTGGACAGTGCCTTCTTGCTTTCCCAGGTGGCCCCATCCTTGTTCATGGGCTCCATTGTCCAACTCAGCCAATCTGTCACTGCCTATATGGTGTCAGCCGCAGGCTTGGGTCTGATTGCCATTTACTTTGCTACACAGGTAGTATTTGACAAGAGTGACTTGGCCAAATACTCTGTGTGAAATGGTTCCTACACACTGAGGAGGGGGCCTGTCTTGCTTGGTCTGCGTCCCCACAGGGCTGCAGGGCTGACTTTCCAGTTTTTGTTGCTGCCAAAGTGGCATGGCTCTCTGCTGCCACCCCGTGGCGGTGAGTTGCATAGCGACAGAGATAGGGGACGGTGGCTTCCCTCTCCCATCTCCCCAGTCTCTAGGGCTGGCCAAACGGCAGTTTCAGTGTGGATCTGTGCAAGGAGGCCAGGAAGGCAGAATATTTGATTAGCTCCATGCACTGGAATGCAGGACTCTGCAGGTGGCCTGGCCAGGCTCAGGGTTAACAGCCAGTGTCCTGATTGAGACATACCTGGAGAAGGAATTTGAAGAACTAAACAAACTCCCACCCCAGGCCCCCTATTCTGCAGAACCCCTGCCCATGTGGCTCTTGCATGGAAGTTTCTAGTGTGAAACTTTCAACAATATTTGGAGGGGTGAAAGCTAATTGAGAGGAAGAGTCCTAAGGGGCCAGGTGAAGCCCCTTGGTCTACAGCACTGCCTTTCTGCTGATCCCCCCAAACCCTTTTATCAGGACATGGCTTGTTGGTCCCTGGGTTGCCATCATGAGGACACAGGCCTTTAAATATTTAACTTATTTATTTAACAAAGTAGAAGGAAATCTATTCCCAGCTTTTCTGGGTTGGTGTCTCGGAGTTGGGTTCAGTGGGATCACCAACAACCAGTCCCCTGAAATGTCTGGTCATTGGGCTGAGCATTGCCAGAATCCCTTCTCTTGGGGTGATAGGTCTGGCCCCCAAAACTACCTAACCCAGCACCTTGGAAGCACTACTCACCCCAGTTGATATCCCAGATGTCCTCACCCAAGGCTGTGGACATAAGGGGTAGTGGAAAGGCTCCAGGCCTCAGCAGCATCCCCAGCCTCCTCTCCTCCCTTGGCCCAGCCTAGCTCCTCCAATTCCCTTCTGTTCCCTGTAGGACTGGGCTGATAAAACACTGCCCTTCACTCCCACTTCACCCCAACTTTCCCCACCGGCTCCACAACCTCTCTTTGGGGCTATTGCAGGACCAGAAGCACACCTGTGGTTCCTCGAGCCTTTGTCCATCTCAGCCTCCAGGGCATATCTGTGCTCGGGGAATCTCACACAAACTCAGGAGCACCCCGCCGAGCCAAAGAGCTCTTATATCTTGGGGGTTTAAGTGCCGTTTGCAATAATGTTATGTCTTATTTATTTAGTGGAGTAAATATTTTATACTGTATGTGAGCAATCAGAGTATAATGTTTATGGTGATGAAATTAAAGGCTTCCTATATGTTTAATTGGCCTGTGTTTATTTTGTTGAGGGGGAAGAACCAGATCTCTCTAAAATCATCCTGGCTGAGCTTTGTGGCAATGCCTGTAATCCCAGTGACTTGGGAGGCTGAGGCAGGAGAATGGGAAGTCTGAGGCCAACTTAAAAAACTTTGTGAGCCCAGCACAGTGGTGCACACCTGTCATCCCAGCAGCTCGGGAGGCTGAGTCAGGAGGATTATGAGCCTCAACAAAAGTGAGCCACTAAGCATTTCAGCAAGACCCTGTCTCTAAATAAAATACAAAATAAGGTTGGGGATGTGTTTCAGTGGCCAAGTGCCCCTGAGTTCAATCCCTGGAACCCTTCCAAAATAAACAAAAATAAGAGACACTGTCTCAAAATAAAAAAAGGACTAGAAATGTAGGTCAGTGGTAAAGTACCTCTGGGTTCAATCCCCAGTGCCTTGCTTCCCCCGCCCCCCCTTCTTGGTTGGGGACCCTTAGCTTTTATCAACGTCAGTTCTCAGGATCCACCAGCAGATGGAGCCATAGGCAAGCACTCTGGGTTGATGGGCAGTCCCAGGAAGCTGTGCTACACTTGGATTGGGGAGTGTGAGAATAGAGGAAGAGAACAGGAAGAGTGTGAAGTTCACAAGAGTGGGGGCATATTTTTTCCTCAAAGGTTCAGAGAAGAAGGTAGAACAAGCACCCATAACACAGCAAGAGAATAGGGAACACACCTGGCATGTGCATGGTGAGGATTTCGGCAGGCACCTCTGTGCCTTGGTCATATCCTTTACACTGGTCCAGGTCAAGTTCACAACCATCCCTGCCTTCCCATCTCCCTGACCTTTTCAACTTTGGCCTGCCTTTCTCTCAATTTCTGAGTGGTCAATACAGTTAACACTTTGGCAAGGGTTCATTTAATTTATTTTTAAAAATATTCTATTTATTATTTGACTTTATGATGAAATTTTTCAAATAGAAGTAGTCAGCCTGGTATGATGAGCCCAGTTTCACAATTAAATCATTGTCATTTTGGTTTCAGCTATGTCTTCCTCCCCTCCACCCCTGTTTTCCCCAAATCCCTGTTTTTTTGTGTGTGTTTTGTGAGTTTTTTTGTTTTGGAGTACCGAGGATTGAACTCAGGGTGTTTAGAGACAGGGTCTCACTGAGCTGCTCAGAGCCTCACCATTGTTGAAGCTGGTTTTGAACTCTCGAACCTCCTGTCTCTGTCTCCCCAACTGCTGGGATTACAGGCACGTGCAGCCTCACCTGGCTGGGTTTTTATTTTATTTTATTTTATTTATACTGGGGATTAAACTTAAGAGTGCATTACCTCTGAGCTATAGCCCCAACACTTTTTATTTCATTAAATTTTTTTGTTTTAGTTGTAGATGGACACAATACCTTTATTTTATTTATTTATTTTTATGTGGCGCTGAGGATCAAGCCCAGGGCCTCACACATGCTAGGCGAGTGCTCTACCACTGAGCCACAACCCCAGCTCCCCAACACTTTAAAAAAAATTTTTCTTTAGTTGCGGATGGACACAATACCTTTATTTTTATGTGGTGCTGAGAATCAAACCCAGTGCCTCATGTGCTAGGCAAGTGCTCTACCACTGAGCCACAATCCCAGCCCCTCTCCAACACTTTTTTTTAAAAATTTGAGAAAGGGTCTCTTGGGGTTGCCTGAGCTGACCTTGAATTTGCAATCCTCCTGCCTCAGCCTCCGTTCCCAGAGTATTTTTAAAGCACGTGCCAGTCAATTTCTTTTCGGCTATTTACACCTCAGTATTTGTCTCTAAGAAATAGAACTTTTTAACAACTTGATCACAATACCATGATATCCAACAAAGTATGCAATAAATGTACTCAATTATATAGTCCATGTAGTTTTCCCCAATTGCTTAAAAAACATGTATTTTTACTTTTGGTTGGTTCAAATTAGGACCCAACTGAGAAAAAAATGACATTTAGTTGTTAAGTCTCTCAAGTTTCTCTTAATTCCTAATGGTTTCCCTCTTTTGTTTTTTAAAGACAGAGTGAGAGAGAGAGTGAGAGAGAGAATTTTAATATTTATTTTTTTAGTTTTCGGCGGACACAACATCTTTATTTGAATGTGGTGCTGAGGATCGAACCTGGGCCGCATGCATGCCAGGCGAGTGCGCTACCTCTTGAGCCACATCCCCAGCCCATTTTTTTTTTAATGACATTCATTTTATATACAAGCTTTTTTTTTTTTTTTTTTTTTTTTCCTGCAGAGTGGTCCACGTCCTGTATTTAACCAACTGTTCCCTCAGGAATTGAGGCCAGGAATTGGAGAGAGGGTGGCCAGGGTAGAGTTGGGTAGGCGTGCCCCATCCATTCCTGGACCTTCTTTCTGGCCCAAGGTGGTCCCCCACCCCCTCCAGAACTAGTTACAGTGAGATGGGGATCTCAAGTGTCTTATACTGCTGGAAGAGAAGACCTTGGTTTCCAGGGTCAGATCTGATTACAGTGGCCTGGCAGTTCTGACACTGTTGGCTGAAGAGCTGTGTAGTGCTCAGACTTTCTGACATCTAACACTGTCACTAGGTCTCCTCGAACATTTGGAGGAAGCTTCATGTGCCCTGGTGACCGTATCACTTGACCTCAACCTGCCCTTCACTAGAACTTGAGCTTGGACAGATCACTCTCCTGCTGTGTGTACAAATGAGCCTGTTAGGAGACCATTTCAACCGATTCAGCTGCAGAGGCGTTCGGCACTTTACAGTCCCCACTTAATGCACTCATTTCATCCAATAATGCTTGTCTACCTTCCCCAGGGCTGGACCCTCTGTGAGCCAAGACTTGGTTTCTAGCAGCTCAGATGGGGCTGTGAGGGAGGGACCTGGATCCTGGGGAGAATTTGTGTGTGTGCACACATGGGTGCATGGTACCACTGAGCATCCCCAGTCCTTTTTATTTTTTATTTTGAATCAGGGTCTCGCTAAGTTTCCCAGGCTGGCCTCCAACTTGCAATCCTCCTCCCCCAGTCTCCTGAGTCTGGGACTACTGCACCTGCCTCTGGAGAGGACCTTGACCCAGAGAACACCACACAGGCTGGCTGGCTTCTCAGTGTTTTGTTGCAGTGATGTGTGAATAGCACGGAGGTGGCTGCTATAGACTGAATGTGTCCCCTTAAATTATGCTGAAACTTAACCCCCAACATGAGGGCATTTGGGAGTGGGGCCTCTGGGAGGTGATTATGTCAGGATCCTCATGAATGGGATCATTGCCTTTATAAAAGAGACCCAGAGAGCTCCGTCACTCCTTTTGCCAAATGAGGACACAGTGAGAAGGTGGCATCAGTGAACCAGGACCTGAGTGCTCACCAGACATGGAAGCTGCCAGAGCCCCGGTATTGGTCTTCCAGCCTCCAGAACTGTGAAAAATAAATATCTGTTGTTTATAAGCTACCTGGTCTCTGATATTTTGTTATAGTCCCAGCTGATTAAGATGGTGAGGCAGAGGCAGTTATCTTTCTTTCAGTGACAAAATTAAGGCCTGAATAGATGATGTGATTTGCCCAAAGACAACTGATTCAGGGCTATTTTTGTTCTATTATCAAGTTTTGAAAAGTAGAGGTGAGGGACATATAGGAAGCCTCTGCATTATCTTTGCAACTTTCCTGTAAATCTAATATCATTCCAATATTAATTTTTTTTTTTTTGTACTGAGGATTGAACCCAGGGATG